TTGGTTGAATTATTATACCAAAATTAATTAACCCTTTTACTGCTTACACTTTTAGGTTAGTAAGAATAGTGCTGCTGTCTACATTCTTGATATATTCTGATGCTCCATGTATGCATTTCTAATGGAAAGATTGTAGAAAATGTATATATATTCAGGTTCAGAAGACCATCCCAAATTGTTTTCCAAAGTAATGGTATTAATTTATAGTCCCACAAGCAGAGTTCATTTCTGCATGCTCAGTATCCTGGTCAGCATTTGGCATTATCTGTTTTCGTGGTATTAGCTGTCTTAATAACCCATTAGATGCAGTAGCATCTCACTGTGGTGTTTAAATTTTATTTCCTTGATATCAGTGAGGTTGAGTACACTTTCATTTGCTTAACAGCCATTTGGAAATTCTCTTTTGTGAAATGTCAATCCAATTTCTTTGAGTAAAACTACTGTAATCATTGACATAAAGATTTTTATGTGAGCATACATTTTCATTCCTTTTGGGTAAGTATAAAAGAGTGACATTGATAGATTATAAGGTAAGTGCATGTTTAACTTTGTAAGACACTTCAGAATGATAGACCTGCAAAGATGGAATCTTGTCCCATGCTAATCTGCAAAGATTAGTTTCATCATGTCCTTGGCTTGAGCACTAGTCAGTGGGAAATGGGATGCTAGTAATCCTTGTCATGCAATGACATCACAATTATTTGAGTTGTCAACTTGGTTTACTGTGATGATTGTCAGCGCAGAAAGTGCCTTGGGAACTCAAATGACTGCTACCACTGACCACTATGGCAGTAATGAAGACTGTGAATACTTAGATTTTTAAATGCATTTGAGTGCTGATGGAAAGAAAATGACCAAATTAGATTCCTGAACTCTCAGCTCAATTTATTATTTGAGAACCAAAGAGCTTCTATGGCAGCCATAAAATAATATTTTATTATCTATAGTCACAGGGACTAGTATTGCTGAGAATTAACAAAAATTAGTTGCGTGGGTTGCACATTACAAAGCTAATTGCTGAGTTTCTCACATGAAGGTTTGGAGCCGATTTGTAAATAATGGGATCCTGGAACTTGAAATGGGGGCATATGTCTGTGCTTAAATGAAACAAATGACAAATGACAACCCCAAGTCATTTGAGCCTCATTTATCAGTGGAAATGCTATCAGAGGAGACTAGAGTCTGTGCTTTAAGATCCTGTGATAACCTCATTTGGAGCAGATGCCTTGAAAGAGGATGCCTACTTTCTTCCACAACCACCCCATCTTGCCATCTTAGCTTGTAAGTAGGACCAATAATCAGCATCCTGGAAGATGAGTACACACCATGACTCAGGAGGAAAGAGCTTCCATACCAAAAGAATTGCAAAACTCTGCCAATAATATGCATCATCAGAAACCTGGGCCACATACGAAGGAATGGATTCTAAGAGTATTAAACCAAGAGGGACACATAACACTAGATCGGCTGACTTTATTGATATGAATACATATTTTAATTCCAGACTTAATTTGTTAACTTGGGCAGCTAGATGCGGCTCTAACAGGGTACTTAGTTGGTTGACTGAAACTTGTAGCTCAGTCATAGCCTATATTAAGTGAGGCTGAGGTATCAGAACTTCCCTGGCATAATGTGCAAGTGGGAGTCCAAAGTCTTGGGGAAATAGGAATGTGTAGTGGATTTATCTTGTGAGACCTGCATACCCACCCCCACCCCCACCCCCATCTATGAGGAGGCTCAGAAGACATTCTGTCCAATAGGCAGTGAGACATATATGAGTGACAGGAGCATCTTCATTCAAACTCTGCAGTTGCTCTTTCTTGAAGGTCAGGTCTGTAAGGGATGTGAGTATTGAGCTGGAGTGCCTGGTGTGGATGGAGACGATGGAATCCCAGAGTAGCAGAGGTCAACTGGTAGCACTTGTTACCAGTTAATTTCTTAACTACCAGAGGAGCATGGGCATGTAAAGCAACACACTCCTCTTTATCTCAGATAGTAGTTCTTATTCTGATGTCCTACTTTATAACTAATATAACTTCTCAGCTATCTTTTGTTTAGTCTTTGCATATTATATCTTTTTACATCTTTTACTTTTAAGCTATCTATATCTTTACATTTAAATTGCATTTTTTAGACAGAATATATTTTATCTTCCTCTTATATCCAATCTAACAGTCTCCATCTTTTAAAAACTGTATTTTGACCTTTTACATTTAGTGGGATTGTTGATATGTGTGATTTGTTCAGACTGAAATTTACCATCTTGATAGTTGGTTTCTATCTGTTTCACCTGTTTCAAGAGTTTTCTATCTTTTCTGTTTTTTCTGATTTTTCTTGTATTAATTGAGCATTTTTATGATTCTAGTTTATCACCATGAATGAATATTATATAAACTCCTTAAAATGTATTTATTATTTGCCCTATTGTTTATGATACCCATTTTTAATTAATCAGTCTACCTTCAGATTATATTTTACTCTTTCAGGTATGGTATGATGACCTTACAATAGTATATTCACAATTTCTTTCTCCCAAATTTTATGTTATTATTGGGATAAAGTTGCTTTTACATAAACTATAAACATACACTACATTACAATTATTTTGCTTTAGATCCTCAGTTACATTTTAGAGAAATAAAATTAAGGAAAAAAGAAAAAGGAAAAAATTATTTTACTTTCATGTATTTTATTTCCAGTGTTTTCTGGTGGTTTGATTCAAAGGGACTAAAATGAAAACTCAGCGACTGAGATAAAATTTTTGAGACAAAACTGAACTTTGGGAATAATAATAAAGGGAGAAATGTGGGATCAACATATAAATCAAGTACAAAAATCAAACGAATATTCATATTTGACCTGATTGTTTATAGTTCATAACGCGTTATCAAAACTGAAAGTTTCTGTGATGAATGCCCTTGTACTGTTCACCATGTAAGAATTTATTCACTATGTAAGAATTCATTCACCATGTAAGAACTTGTTCGTTATGCTTCAGAAGATTGGAGACTGATGAGAATTAGACTTGAGATGGATTAATGATTGTACATTGAGCATTGACCCCTGTATACTGAATTTTATTGTTGTTAACAACCATTTGATCAATAAATATGAGAGATGCCCTCTCAAAAAAAAAACAAAAAAACTGAACTTTGGGGCCCCAGACTGCTACATCAGGAATCCAAAAAGATAGATGCCTCACTTCAAAGGGGACCACATTCTCTAATGCCCTTTCATATGTGGCCAAGGAAGATAATGGAAAAATAAGCACCTCCCAAGGACAGAAGAAAGATCTGTAGAGAAAAAATTGCTGGAGAGCTACTGACAGGGAACAGAACTAGGGCCTCATCAACCAACTGGCCCCACCCAGTATATAGGAAACTCACAATGTTGGCCCATTATCATTTCAGAATTGTGGACAAGTGACTTTGTGACCATCATGTTCATCCTCTTTCAAACATCAGCATTTACTGGGGTAATGTTTCCATGTTAAGCCATTGTACATACAGGGGTAGAAGGCAGATAGATGACTTTCCTTTTTTATTCATGGACCAGGAGTAGGCACATAAGGGGTGTAGCAACTATCATGGGACCTTGGACTGAGAGTCTGATAGTGTGATGGAATGGGATGTCCAGAGTGTCTTTCTTGGGGAAGAGGTGAATATATTTTGTGTGTGGAAAGGAAAGAAGTAAATATTTAGACTACAAGGACAGCTTGTTGTAGCCGTCTACTTTTGCTAGATAACAAACCATCCCAACATTTACTGGCTTAAACAAAACTATGCATGATTTCTAATGATGCTGCATGAGAATTATCCAGGTGAACTGGTGATTCTTCTGGTGTGAGCCAGCTCAGTCAGGGCTGCGTGGTTGAAGATGAATTCATTCACAGGTCTAGTGGTGGGCTTGATATCAGCTAGGCCAGTGGGGGATGACTTTGTAGCATGTCTCTCATCATCCAGCAGGCTAGCCTATGTTCCTTCACCTGGCAGTTGTTTCAGGGTTCTCAGGAGCAGCTAAACAGCAAGCCCCAGGGATCAATTCCTTTACAATATTCTGTTTGCATTGTAGTTGCTAATCCTCATTGGCCAAAATATGTCACATGCCTAAATCCAGATTCAAGGGGCGAAGAAATATTCTCCATCTCTTGATGGAGGTGGAGCACAGTCCATTGCAAGGGGCCAAGCATACTGGATGGGGAGAATCTGAAGTCATATTTTGTATTTTCTTATTTTTCTCAATTATTAGCATTCTCTCCTTATAAAAGAGCTTCACTTCATTGCCTTTTGTCACATGACTTGTAGAGCCACTATGTAGAAGGAATATACTTCCCATCCCACTGATAATAAAATTGTCTAGGTGACTTGCTTTGACCAATGACTTTGGTGTAGACCCGATGTTTGCCATGCTTCAGTAGAAGCTTTAAGAGCCATAGCATATTCTGCCTTTTATCTTCTCCCTTCTGTCACAACAGCAGCATATCCCAAATTGAGGCTGCTTCTTTAGCCTGGATCCTGGAATAAACAAGACACACTGGAAAACTTTCATTTACTGAGCCCCTGAGTTTGGTGGTCACTTTTACCACAAAAGATTTTAGGGAAAAAAAGAAATTACAGTAATTTATTAGCTTCTCTTTTTTATATTTAATCTATTCCTTTAAAGTGGATATTTCATATGACTTTTAAAATATTTAAAACTTTCATTTTTAAAAGGCTTTGTTCCTATTTCTCCTTCCAGTTCTGACCCTGTCTCCTCCCCAACTGCATGTAGATTTCTTGAAAGAGTTGTACATGATGTCCTGTTCAGTCCTGAGCATTTTTCAGTCTGTCTGCCTCCCTGATAGTTGTACTAATGTCACACTTGCCGAAATCACCAACAAGCCCCACATGGCTGGTTCTGCTGGGTAAACAGGGTCTACCTGAGAAAGTTGACATTTTAAAGACTTAAGAAACCCACAGACCTGACCTGAATTTCCTTTCTTGTTTGTTTGGCCGTTGTAGGTCTTCTGTGATTTCCACGGCCACTCTCAAAGGAAGAATGTGTTCCTCTATGGCTGCAGCATTAAGGAGACCTTGTGGCAAGCAGAGTCCACAGTGGACACCTCTGCTCTCTTGGAAGATGTCAGCTACAGGGTAAGTCACTGGGAGAATGACACCAGACCTTTTGGCGTCTATGTTCTTGTCTTTGAGATACATGCCCTACCCATTGTTTTTCCTAAATAACATTTTGATTATTTTAACTGTAGAGTTATAATACAAGCAGGTTGGAAGCATGTACAACTTCTCCACATTTTAGATGAATAATGCTTTACGACCTCATTGCTTTGAATTTGTTTTCTATATGATACGATAGAGTGCAAAGGGCATGAGAACTGGAGACAAGATACCGCATTTTAATGCCTGGCTTTACATTTATTAACTGGGCGCCTATGAGTCATTGACATCACCTCTCTGAACTGCCATTTTATCACCAATAAAATGAGGATAGTAAAAATACTGCCTAAAGTGTGTGGATATGTTCACCAACCTGGAGGCTCTTTGAACCCATATTATTGGGATTTTAGGGAGGCTTCCTCAGGTAGCTGTGATCAGTTATTAACTCCATTTCCAGCCCATTTCCCTTCTCTAGAGAATTACTGATCAGCCCCACACCAGGAGCCATGCAGAAGCCCACCCAGAGTCATCTCATTAGAACAAAAAGTGTCCCTGGTCTTCTTATCACTTAGGAATTCACGAGGGTTTTAGGGGCCCTGTGTCAGGACCTGGGGATGAAGAACAAATATGCATTTCCTATTATAAATCACAATATTACAATTTTGATGGTACCTACCTCTTCTAAATCCATTATTTTTCTGGATGTATGAATTTACTGTGTACAAAATGGCTTCATCCCCAGGTTTAATGAATATTAAAAGAGGTAAAAATCCACCAACTACTATTTTACCTGCAAATATTTCCATTAATCCCAGAGTTTTTCTTTGTACTCTTCATTCCTGTCTAACAGAAACATACTGCTGCTGCAGAGCTTCCCTAAGGCTGTTGGTGCAGGCTCAACAGCTTATCCTCCATGTCCTATTTGCTCTAAGGCTCAGCCATGGTAATGGGGATTTTGATACATAATTAGAATCTAAAAAAAGCGAGAAAGAAAGAGAGAGAAAAGTAAGTTAATTCTAGCTTTAAAAAATATCAACCAGTGAAAATTTCATTGCATGGGATCATTAGCAGATTTGAGATGTCAGGGGGATGAATCATTAAACTTAAAGATCAATCTAAAATTACTGAACTAAAATAACAGCAGAAAGAATATGAAGAAAATAAACAGTCTCAGAGACCTCCCTGTAGGACCCCATCAAGCCTAATTCTGTTGAAGTAATTCATCAGGAAAGTATCATGAATACATGCAAATGTCCCCAACATATATGAGCAAAAGTAGAATTGAGAGAAGAAAATTTAAAAATTCACTGAATCAGTGGATATGTTAACACACTTCTCTTAATAATAGGCAAATAGAAAATTAGTTATTATACAGAATACCTGATGTAATTGATGCATATATAACAATTCTCAAGACAAAAATATGCGTTCTTTCTGAAAGGACATCAAAATTATCCTCGGTAGACCATGTGCTAGGCTAAAAAATAAGTCTCAATATATCTTAAAGGACTGAAACCATACAAGCATATTCACTTACCATAACACAATTAAATTAAAAATCAACTTTTTAAGGAATTTGGGCATATTTCTGAATATTTAGAAATTAAATAAGTTAATTTATTAGGGAATAATAAAGGAAATTAGGTTGTATCTTGAACTGAATAAAAATAAAAGAAAACATGTATCAAAATTTATGGTCAGCAAACTGATAACCCTTTAGTTAGACTAAGAAAGAAGACACAAGTTATCAAAAATCAGGAATGAAAGGGGACTTTATGACAGGCCTTCTAGAGTGTGAATGAATATTATTAACAACTGTATGCTGACAATTGAAAAGTTCTGAGGAAGACACAAATTACCAAAACTGACTCAAGACATAAAATCTAATAAGGCCTATTTTAAATAAATAAATTATATTGATAATTAAAAATCTTTCCACAAATGAAATGTAGCCCAAATGTACTTGTAATAAATAATACTAACTATAAACAAATTATTTCCAAAAAGTAGAGGAGAAACATTTCCCAACTCATTTCATGAGGCCTGTATTACTTTGATACCAAAGCCAGAAAAGATAGCACAAGGAAAGAGAGCAAATATCTCTCACACACACACCTATCCAAAATGCTTACAAGTGTGAAAATCAAGTCCAGCAGTGTATGAAAATCATTATTCACTGTGGCAAAGTGGGGTTTATCTCATGAGTGAGATTGGTTTAACTTTTAAAGTCAAATACTGTTCTACTCCTGGTAAATAAGCAAATGGCAAAAACTACATCATTATCTCAATAGATGCAGAAAAAGCATTTGACAAAATTAAACATCCATGCAAAATAAAATCTCACAACAGACTAGGAATAGAAAGGGAATTCTTCAGCCTGAATTTGAGCATCTAAAAAACGTCCTGGAATTACAGTCATGCTTAATGGTGAAAGACTAACCTCCTTCCCCATATGATCGGGAACAAGGCGAGAATGTTTCTCTCACCATTTCTATTTAAAATTTTACTGGATATTCTAGCTGGTTTAATAAGACAAGAAAAATATTAAAGAGAAACAGGTTTGAGAAAAGCCAAAGTGTCTTCACAGGTGACATACAGTATCTTAGGTAGAAGATTCTAAATTAAATAAGTTAATTTATTAGGGAATAATAAAGGAAATTAGGTTGTATCTTGAACTGAATAAAAATAAAAGAAAACATGTATCAAAATTTATGGTCAGCAAACTGATAACCCTTTAGTTAGACTAAGAAAGAAGACACAAGTTATCAAAAATCAGGAATGAAAGGGGACTTTATGACAGGCCTTCTAGAGTGTGAATGAATATTATTAACAACTGTATGCTGACAATTGAAAAGTTCTGAGGAAGACACAAATTACCAAAACTGACTCAAGACATAAAATCTAATAAGGCCTATTTTAAATAAATAAATTATATTGATAATTAAAAATCTTTCCACAAATGAAATGTAGCCCAAATGTACTTGTAATAAATAATACTAACTATAAACAAATTATTTCCAAAAAGTAGAGGAGAAACATTTCCCAACTCATTTCATGAGGCCTGTATTACTTTGATACCAAAGCCAGAAAAGATAGCACAAGGAAAGAGAGCAAATATCTCTCACACACACACCTATCCAAAATGCTTACAAGTGTGAAAATCAAGTCCAGCAGTGTATGAAAATCATTATTCACTGTGGCAAAGTGGGGTTTATCTCATGAGTGAGATTGGTTTAACTTTTAAAGTCAAATACTGTTCTACTCCTGGTAAATAAGCAAATGGCAAAAACTACATCATTATCTCAATAGATGCAGAAAAAGCATTTGACAAAATTAAACATCCATGCAAAATAAAATCTCACAACAGACTAGGAATAGAAAGGGAATTCTTCAGCCTGAATTTGAGCATCTAAAAAACGTCCTGGAATTACAGTCATGCTTAATGGTGAAAGACTAACCTCCTTCCCCATATGATCGGGAACAAGGCGAGAATGTTTCTCTCACCATTTCTATTTAAAATTTTACTGGATATTCTAGCTGGTTTAATAAGACAAGAAAAATATTAAAGAGAAACAGGTTTGAGAAAAGCCAAAGTGTCTTCACAGGTGACATACAGTATCTTAGGTAGAAGATTCTAAGAAATCTGCAAAATAAACTACAGGAATTAAGCAAATTTAGTAAGGTCACAAAATGCATGATCAATATAGAAGTTGATTTTATTTCTAAATGAACAATCTGGAAATGAAATTAACAAAAAAATCCATTTGCAATAATATAAAAAAGATTAAGTCAATTAGGAACAAATTAAACAGAAAATAGTGCATTAATTTTACACCATAAACTGCAAAACACTGTTGAGAAGAATTCAAGGAGATCTATATAAATGAGGAGATTATCAAGTTCATGGATTATTTTTTTATAGATTTAATACAATTCCTATCAAAATCTCAGCAGACTTTTTGTTGATATCGAGAAGCTCATCTTATAATTTATGTGGAAATGCAAAGAAACTAGAATACCCAAAGAAATTTTGTGAAAGAAGAATAAAGCATTTACATTACATGACTTCAAAATTTCACATGAGCTCAAATCGATTAAGCTATAGTAATTATGAAAGTATGGTATTGGCGTAGGATGGATATAGATCAACAGAACAGATTAGAGAGAGCAGAAATACACTTAACATATCTGTAGGCAATAGATTTTTGGCAGAGTTAATTTAGGTATTTACTTAATACCATATATAAAATTTAACTTAAATTATAACCCTAAGTGTAAGTACTAGGCTTTTAAACTCTAGAATGTAACCTACTAGAAAAATCTCTGTATGCTGTCTTATTTGATTAATCAATTCTATCTTACCAAGAACCCCAAAAGTATAAGCTGTAAAAGAAAAAGTTGATATACTGGACTTTATTGAATTCAAAGTTTTGCTCTTCAAAACTCACTATTAATAAAGTGGAAAGACAAGCCACAGATTGGGAGAAATATTTGCAAATCATGCATCTTATAAAGGATTTGTATCCAGAGTATATAAATTTTTACAAGCCAGTAATAAGAAAATCATCCAATTTTTAAACAGGGCAAAAGATGTGTTTGGACTCCTCATCAAAAAGAATGTATACATGTCTAATATTAGCAATGTAATTATTCATTAGGTAATTGCAAATTAAAATGATGGGATAGTGCTACACAATGACTAGAATGGCTATAATAAAAAAAAGAGACCATATATCCACATAAAGACTTGTACTTACGTGTTCATAGCAGCATTATACACAGTATCCCCTAACTGGGAAAAACCTAGGGTCTGCCAAATTGTGAATGGACCAGCAAAGCATGGTATTCTCATACACAATGTAGTCACGTGTATGTTCATTCATACATGGTGTATTCAGACAATGGAAGCTTATTCAGCAATAAAAAGGGACAAGCTACTGACATGTATGATAACACAAATGAACTTAAAAAGAAGCCAGAATTTAAACAAATGTATGGTTTAATTCATAGATTTCTGAAAATGGCAAAACTATGGAGTTGAAAAGCAAATTCCCAGTGCAGGATTGACTGGAAATGACCATGAAAGAAATTTTAAGGTGGTGAAGGTGCCCTAAAACTGGACAGTGGTGATGGTTGCAAAATTGTGTACATCTACTAAAAAATCATCAAACTGTACACCTACCTCCATAAACCTGATATATGTATTTTTGAAAGCAAACGTTAATTGATTACTTACCATGTGCCAAGCAGTGTCATAGGTATTTATGTAACAAAGTTCAATAAAGCATGAACTTCTGAAAAATAATAGCTGGGGAGAGAGGAATAATACTGGAAACTTAAAATAGAGAATAATAACTACAAGAACAGAAATATTACAGGTAACACAGGAAGGATAGATTAACTCTGTATTGCTGCAAAGTTGGGTAGATCTCCCCCCTCAGCTGGCTTCAGTAGACAATATTTTGAGGGATAAATATGAGCAGTGCTAGGATGTTCCACAAAGAAAAATATGTGTCATGGATAATTTTCAACTTAAGTCTGATTTCAAGAGAAACCTGAAAAAGCAGAATGACATGAATTCTATAGTAATTACAATTTGAACCTTAAAGAACTGTAATCACCAGTCGTGGATAACAGTGAATTGACGCCAGGTCTTCTGCACTACTACCTGGGCAGTGTCCCCAGTTAGTGACATTTTCTGTCCTTGATCTTCTTCATGAATTCCCAAATTAAATAGGCATTAATTCATTGAATCTTATTCTGTATTTTAGAAGGTAAAATAATAGAGGATGCTTAACAAATGTTTGTTGAATGAATAGGTACTTTTCATAACCTCCCACTTCACATATGAGGGAAGGAGATACAGAGATGAGATCATTTTCTGAACATCACATAGTTAACCAAGAACTGGGGTTGGGACCCAGGTGGTTTGGAAACAGAGTCCACACTTCTAGATTCTGACCTCAGTGACCTTATAAAGGGTGTGTTGAATCAGAGAGAAACAAAACCTGAGTTGACACCTCTGTAGTTTACAATTAATATGATTAGAGCAAGAATAAACCCTTGTTCGGTGCTTGTAAAGAAGGGTTATTTGAATTAAAACAAAGGAAGTATACAATGCAAAGAGAGACTTTAAACTTTTTTTTAATCTTGAAAGGTTGAATGTTTGAGTGCAGTGACTTCCCACTCTTCCAAACCTTTACACATCAGCAAACTCCAAAGTGTAATAATAATAATAATAATAATAATAACAACTTTCATTTATTGGAGCTTCTAAGCACTTTACTCCCTTACTCAAGATTGGGAATATTATTATCCCTTTTCTCCTTTATGATGACAAAAACTAGGACTAGTCAAGTTAAATGACTTACTCAAAGTCCAGTACTGTACAGTGTCAATCCACAACTCTGACTTTCAGTTTCTAGGCCCAGCCATACCCTTGCCACATGCTTGATCCAGAGAAAAGAGAAGACATTTGAGTTCCGTAGAGCTGACCGTAGGGACTTCCTGTGGAGCCCTAGAGGGGGCTCCTCTCCAGAAATGAGCTCTGAGCTAGAAGCGATCTGGTGAGTTCAGAGTCAGTATATCTGTGAGAGTCACACCTTCTTTGAATTTGGGGAATCAGACAGAGCTGAAAGGGTCATCAGAAAGTAAATGAATTAAAATCCAGCTTGCGCTTTTAAGTGTCTCGAAACCAGAATAATTGGATCCGAATCATCCTTTCCCCCCTGAGCTAAGGCTATGCCTCATCGATTGCTCCCGGATAAATGGACTCTGTGTCCATGGGGATGCAGAAGACTCATTCTTGGGCCACTTCTGGACTAGTTTTTAAATCCCTGCCAGGTTTGTGTTGGGACCATGCTAAGTGCTCACCCCTATGCCGTGCCCAATATGTACATTATCTCAGGTATTCCTTCTAACAACTCTCATAGGGAGATGTTAATTCTCCCATTTTGCAGATGAGGTGTTTATGCCTCAGGGGAGCTGAGTAGCTCATGTGAAGTCATACAGAAAGTACATGGGGGAGTGGGGCTCAGTCTGGTCTGTCTGACTCTTTCCTTCCTGCCTTTAACCCCTGGTCCAGGAAGGTTCTGGGCTGCAGTGGTAGCTCTGCTCCTGAATAGAGTCTCTAGTATGCATTCCAAAGCCTACTTTTAGAAAATGAGAAAGAACCACAAAAAGAAGTGAGCTTTTCCTGGAACTGTGTTTATAATAATTATGCATGATATTACAATGAATTGGATTACCTCTTGCATATTGGACATGTTACGTCTTATTTAAACCTCTTTATATACCTGGGGGATGGCAATACCTCATTTAAAAAGCAGATACTCACAGTGGTTAAACTATGCTTGAGTGATGTGAATTAGAACACCTGGGTTAAAATTCCCTTAGTAGCTCTGTGATGATTGAAAAGATACTTGTCTGGCCTCTGCATAATGAGATAATATCAGAATTTACCTCAAAGACTTGTGATGATTAAATGCATTAATGCATGGAAAAGTCACAGTAAGCAGTTAGTGAGAATATGTCTATTGTGATTTTTAAGTTTTGGAAACTGAGATTAAATTTAAGGACACAGAGTAAAAGGCAGGGGAAGAGATGAATGTCCCAAGTCTCCTTTCCACACTGAAGATGGGAAACCTCCGAGCGCAATGGGGCAAGGCCTCGGGAGATCAGTTCACAGGAAGAGCCCATCTATTTCCTATATATTTATAAAACAAAACAAAACAATCCCCAGTCATCATAGCTACGGTCATCTTCGTTTCTTACTCTGACATAGATCAATTTGTGTGGAGTCAGAAGGACATGGAATTAGGACTTTACTGTAAGTACTGTAGCAGTTTTAGAGTCTATTATTTAATGCATGAATAAAATGAATGGAGATATAAGAGGGGTGCTCCGATTGTACCTTGTAAGTCCCGCATCCTCCAGGCTCCAAAGAAGGGATCAGAGATTCCAGTAAAGCTCTCCAAAATACTGTATTTGAACGTGTGGTCATTTGGACAGGGGCTATACGAGCTAAGAAAACCAGGTTCATACAAATAAGAAAGGAGAGGTCATTTAAATGATGCCAGCTTAGACTTTTTGCAACAAAGTAGAACATGGATAAATTAAAACTATTTTCAAGAATTTTCCTTCGCTTTAGTTGCATGATATATAAATATATATAATATAGACTTACATATATATATTCTATGTATTTTATGTCTATGCAGGCAGTCCCCTAAGGGTCTGGACTAACAGATTCTATTTATTGCAATGAATAACTATGGTGTGTCCTCTATGAGTGGCACAGCTTCACAGACAAAGATTTTCTTTTGAAAAAGACACAGACCTGAACTTATGGAACTTCTAAGCTGCAGAGGAGATAGAAAATAAACAACAAATTGCATAAACACTAATTTTACCATAATTATAATGAATGCTTTGAAGGAGAAAAATGGGTTGAGGGATGATAGGGAGAGAGAGACAAGAGTGGATTGAAATCAATTAAGGGATAATTGTAGAAAATCAAGTGAGGATAGCATTAGCATTTCATTTTGCCTGTCCAAATGATGCCATAGGCCCAGAGGCTATGGGAACTTAAAAGATCATACTCAATTATAGGAATAATTATGTTAATATGTACTTATATATCATTTGTAATTATGTTAATCTATAGTTGTATATCAAATGCAATTTATAATTAATCATATTAACCCTTCTATTAATATAATTAAGGTGTCTTAAACATCAGGACAGTAAGAATTGGACATATTAAGAGATCTACTCAATGTTCTGGAAATTAACTGTACTTTTTTAAAAATAATTCCTTAATTCAGATTCTCTTTCTGCTTCACTACCTCCTCCCCACAATTTGTCTGAAGCCTAAAGTTTCACTGTTATCTAATGTACATACTTTAATATTGTGTCACAATTTTGTGGATATTCCATCAACAATGAAGTGAGAGAACTCCTTCTCATTAACGCTGCAAAAGTTCTGGGACTCAATGCAATATTTCTGCTAATGTAAAAACCTGGTGTCCGTCAACTCTGAGTCATTGTCCTAGGTGGGAGGGGGCGGGCCAGGGACTGGAAGCTCCACTCTGTTGATCAGACAGTGACAAGGGTATACAGATGCCTTCCAAATGGATCTTAAGTGGTCTGGCATCAAGTTTTTCTTCCTAGGAAAGGTGGAATGTATGAACCCAGGAGGATGGACTTTCAGGTATTTTATAATTGGTCAGATTTATGATTAAAATAATAACTCAGAATGAGTCTAAATCATTCGTTTTGGCAATTACATGCTCCTAGGAAGCAAGTGAACTTCACATGAGCCCCTGCTTAGGCATCATCAGTGGTCTCTATCTACTGAGATAAGTGAACAATCCTTAGTTTGATTTTTAGAGCTAGAAAATAGTGAGGCTGGTGGGAATCACTCTAAATTTCAGATCCTTCTGGAATTTGTAGCTTTCTATGGGGCTCAACTCAGGAATGGATGAGGCTGGCTGGATGTGTGCAACAGTGGTCCAGAGCAATGTGGAACGATGGAGTTTGAAAGGTCGTGGCCTTTGGAGCTGGCCAGGTTAGCGTTTGGATCCCATTCGAGCCATTTGTCATTGCAATTAGGCTCTATTTCTCTCTCACTTTTCTAAGCCTCAGTTTCCTCATTTTTAAAATAATAAAAGACCCCACGGATATCCATTTCTTAGGTGACACAAGATTTTCAGTAGCATATATTCAGTGGTTGATATATTGAAATGCTCAATAAATGTTGAGAAGTAATTTTTTATGACATGCATTTCTAATCACCTAATTCATCGTAATTTGATTTATTATTATTATTTTTTGTAGATGCTTCCTAAAATCCTCGATAAACTGGCGCCAGCATTCACAATGAGCAGCTGCAGCTTCCTCATTGAGAAATCCCGAGCCTCCACCGCCCGGGTGGTGGTGTGGAGAGAGATGGGGGTGTCCAGAAGCTATACCATGGAGAGCAGCTACTGTGGCTGCAACCAGGGCCCCTATGAGGTATGTGAGGCCGTGGGGTACACAGGCGTTCTGTCCAGGAGCAATACGGTGTTTCAGGGGGCTCTCACAGACCCTTGATTCTTGCTTTCTCTCTGGAAAGAGGAAGATGTCCCCAGATAGAGTCTGGCCCAGGTACCCAACCTTGTAGAACTAGTTCAATGGTTGCTTTTACTGGCCACACAATCTGTGTTGATCCTAGAAGCAATTTGTGTCGCCCGCTGATTTGATTTCTCAGTCATGTGCCCTTGCAGCAAGTGGCAGGGAGCCTCCCTTGGACGTGCACCCCCATGCACCAGGTTTTTGCGAACCTCTGCCTGGCCCTGTTGTGTGCATGGGGATCTCTTGCTACCTCTTGCCACAAGTGGATGAGTTCCCTCTGCATTATAAATGGTGTAGGTTAGGGCATGGATAGTGTCCATATGTACATGTGTTGTGTTTCTTTGTCTTTGGTGCTTATCTAAAGCAGCAGCTCTCTATTAACCTGCTGGCACCAGAGCACCGAGAAATGTGTGCTTGACAAGGGCTCCCCAAGATGAGTGGGTCTTGGATTCCTGCTCCAGTGTCAGGGGAAGGGCCCCTGTAAATCACATTGTTACTGCAGCTCTATTAGCTGCAACAGCAGGCTCTGCGGGCTGTGGGTCCCACTCCCCTGCTAGAGGAGCGTAAATAAAGGACATTGTTACAGTGCTGTGGTAATAGATTCTTTTAAATTACTGAGGCAAGCTGACAGCTATTCCTTGGTGACTTCATTCCACCTCAAGAATACCTGGACCTCACCAGCATTGAAGCTCATTGTATTGGCTTTGATGCGCCTTTTGGAACAGCCAGGAAGCTCTTGGCACTGATGGAACCCTGAGCTGGTAGAAATCTGTTGGCTATCAACAGGAGTGACGGGTGATGGCCTCTCTCTTACTTCCCACCTGGTCGTAGGGTTTGCTTGACACAGGGCCACGGAACCATTCTGACCCATAACTTCTGTTGAACACCTGGGTCATCTAAACAGCTGCTGAGGGGAATCCTTTTATTATTGAATGCATATGTTATTAGACTTAATTAACCCTTACTTGCCCACATTGATATTGATGCAGAATAACAGGAAGAGTGGGGGCATCAGAAGACCCCACTCTTCGTCTCACCCACACTGCTGCAAACTACTGACCTCTGTGGCCTTATGTGTGTTTCATATGTCATCAAGCAATGCAGATATTAATTAATAATATCAGTCATATATCATCTATGCAGATATGAATTTATAATGTTTCCTCCTCTACCTCTCACATGAGATTTTTGTAAAGGCCGAATGACAATGCATGTGTGAATATAGTTGGAGATTCTATCATCAGAAACCTTGGCGCTCAAAACCCACAGGATTGGAAAAAGTAAACCTAGGATACGTGTGACTAGGGACTATGGATATAGATGGGACCCTTTCTAGCTGGAGGGCTCTTGATGAAACGGGGGCCAGTCCCCTTGTTTAAGTGACAACTTTGTGCGTCTCTCACAGATTCATTAGGCTGATGACTTTCACTGACTTTGTTCCTCCAAACACTGATTCAGACTCACAGCTTCTAGTCACGTAAGCATCAATGCCATTCACAATAAATCAACGGGTAATTCAAAGTCCTTTGGAGGTTGATCTGAAAAACTAAACGACCTGTAGCTTCAGGCCCGCACCAGCTCTCCTGAGACAAGCACTGCGGCTGTTAGACTTGACAAAGGACGAACGAGGTTTGCCCAGGGGGATGGCTTTTTGCATTATCAGCTCGGCATTTGCCCTGTGAAAATGCCCACATGGCCTGCGCATGGGTCTCTGAGAAAGAATGAAATGGGAAGAGGCCAGTGGAAGACCGAACAGTGTAAAGCCCACTTTCACATCAACAATCCCACATCTATGTGAAACTCTCTCTGAATAGATTTCTCCTTCCCTTTGTTTTTCTGTCCTTACAAACATTACTGAGTAACTGCGCAAGATGGCAGAGAGCAAGCCAATGGTGAGTAATTTCACATACGGGGAGCCCACCCTGGGGAGAGGAAGCCAGCCCAGAGTTGGGGGTTCTGCTAACTTTTGTTTGAGATGTGTGATGAACTCTATGAGCCATAAGCAGTATAGAAATTTCCATCCCAAGTGTAATATGCGAATGATTTTAATACATTGAGAAGCAGAGTCCTGTTGGGTCCTGAGGTTATTATTCTGAGGTCATCTTTCCATTTTTTGTTTAGCATCACCATTTATCCAAAAGATGGAGGCTACTTAAACACACCCGCGAGGGGCATTCCTTCCTTCTTTCCTAAGAATGAGAGTATTTTTGCAGTTTCTCTGGTTAACATGGCTTTAAAGTAGTTCCAATCACTTCTCCCTGAGCACACGAAGTACCTGATTTGTTAGTACTGAAATGAAATAACATTTCTTACAGTGACATTTATGTTGGAACTGCATTAAAGAACACAAGCTATTACCTTCAATAATTATTAATATGATATTTTCTCTTTTCCAGCCTATAGTTGGCTAATTAAAAAAACATCTCTTTTTGTTCTTTGTGTTCTAGTCTCTATTGCTAGGTTATACACATAGCTCCCTAATTTGTCTATAATGTGGCCATCTCACCCACTGAGAGAGTCCCTTTTCCTATGAGGGACTGGCCCAAAGCTGTGGAAGCTGTTGAGCAGAGGCCAGAACAGAGTGGTGCATCCTCTCAGGCCTCATTTTTCAGAGGTGTCCTGTCTATGTGGACAACTCTGCCCCTAGCACTGCGTGTGTGTGACCTGGGGTCACATACATGGTGTGTTTGTACATACAAAGGCGTGTGACAGGGTTAGGATGATAATGTGAGGGCTCCCACCCAATCAGGCTGTTGTCATGCCCCCGGGCAATCCTTGC